CCCACTATGGAGTGTCATAGGCATATATGCTGCATTCCATACGGTACTGTGTTAGTAATATCTCATTACCCATTCAAATTTATGAAAACATCACACACCTACAATAAGCGTTTCGAGAAATCAAATAATCTATGCTCATTAACCAGTTTAAATCACGCGCGGGAGCAATTTCCTGTCAGAATCACGCGATCTCAGAAGATTGTCAATATGTACACTGACGAAATTTGTATTCAACCGATCAAGTGTACACAGGCAATGGCTAACCGTAAAGAGATATTACCAGTATTACAACTAGGCGCTAGCTATCGCAATAGCGTGTAGCGAGTGGAGCAGGCAGCATTTGTCTGAATTAATGGAATATGACAGGTTATATTACCTCGATGTAATCATGTTGCATAAGGATTGCGAAATTGGTTAAGTGCCAGCACTGACAAACTGTGACGTCAATCCCAGATAACGATTCATCTTTTTCACATCCTTCAGAACTCCAGACACCGCTAGATCCATCACTGTAACAGATAGTAAAGAGAGTTGAAGCATGCAGCTAAACACAAGAGGACGAACTTGTAGATCATTCTTCGAAACTTTTTGGTCACGTACATTTGGAGCGAAATAAAAGTTAAATGTATTTTTCTCTTCCGAAAAAAATACTTTCCCTGCCACCGGGATTATAAAAACAAATTTCAATTGTATCTATATTATGGATATAACAATTAACCATTTATTATACTTCTATAGAAATCGTATCATTGTATTCTATAAGATTTTGTCTCACATAATTTATTTTAAATAATAATATAAATTGAACAATATGAATCTTACTTTTTTTAATCATAAAAGTAAAAAAAAAATAATTGTGAGCAAACACAATGGCATAATTAGAAAATGATGCGACCGATTCTACCTTGTTAGAAATTTCCAGTATACACATATCTGAGGCGATGACGTAATATGCACGTGTCGCAAAGTGATGATAACAGGTTCTGGAGGATCTTCTATAGGAGTCGAAATCGAGGCTGACAGAATCCGACTGTTCAAAAGATATTTGCCATCGGTAACGCTGCAAGTGGTAGGTAAATCATAGGTTAGCGAATATATCACAACAAAATGTTAAATATAAGGCGCATAATGTATAAACAAAGGGAAGGGACTGTGGAATAAACAAATTCATAATAGCTACTGCACCCTCTAGCGGCGATGTGCTATCTGTGACGATGTTTTCTAAAAGTGGTCATTAGTCAATAAAATACTGCCTTTTTTAAAAATAGAATTTACAATCGACTAAAATCGAGTTGTCCTTTTTCTAACAACATTTTGACATATTAGTAGAGTCTATTTGCTATTTAAAGCGGGAGGTCGTCACCTGCGCAAGCGCGAGAATTGAGTCCAAAGCGGCGACGACAACAACACACGCTGAAAGCGCAAAGGCTCATGGGTAGACGCTTGTTTGTAAACAACGACACGCTATGGCCAACTGACGCATGCGCAGGTGACGCCTCCCCCGCTTTAAGGGCACTTACATATTCAAAACAGTCATTTATTAAGGTAGTCGTATTGTTATTTTATAAGTGAGAATAAATCAAATGTAAATGTTCGCCGAGATCTCGTTGAGGGCGAATGAACGACGTGACTAGTTTCTATTATCTCTCGTAATTGGACCCATCGTTCCAAATACTTGAATTGAACTCTAATTAACCCTTTTTACTACCAGTCCCTTTTATAGTCTGCACCCTACTTCAGAAGATTGGGACAAAAATAGTCATTTTTTTGAGTAAAAACTGAAAATTGACACAATTGTATCTGTTGGCTCCAAAATTAGGGTTTATTTCCAGAAATATTGTAGAATATAAAAGAGTGCAGAATACACAGTTAAATATATAGTTATTTATAATAAACAAATCATCGTAAATGGCCAGTCCCCGTCTCTGATTTCGTGTCGTTCAATTCTCAAATTATACAACCAGTAACTCCTTGCGATAAACTAAACATAACAATTTAATTTAAAGTCAATAAAAACACGCGACAGTGTAACCATAAAAAGTAACGAAATCGGCTCAGTCATCAACGAGAAACGATTGTGCTCAAGTAATAAGAGTTAACGAGATTAACATATCACAATACTGGCCACCAAACAATAATACAAATTCGTTCTTATGTATCTATTAGTGTTGTGTCTGTGTATCAAATTTCTTCAGAATGTGACATTGCATCCACATGCGTGGAAACAATAAACCGCCCAGCCATCGTCGCAAAATAGTTTTATTTACTGTTTTGAACTTTCGAAATTATAGTCTTTGAGGACATTTTGTAAGATATACCAAATATGTTGAAATAACTTTTGCATATCAAGATCGCCGTTCCCTAGAATAATCATTTACTCACGAACTGTAAAAAAATATACGAGTACGTTGATTTAATAACTGTACATTTTATCGGATTATTGAAAAGTTTCCACATGATTTCATGACGTACTTTCAATCGAAATATATATATACGATGTAGTTGATTTGCTTACCTGCTTATTAACTGGTGCTGGGCGTCGCTTGGAAACATCTCGTGGATATTTCGGTACGCAATGCCAACTATATTCAAGTTCGTTATGTCTTTGGAATTTATAAAGCAAAAAAAAAACCATTGTGATTCAGACATGTTTGTTCATTCTTGATAAATGTAGATATAATTAATGCGCACGAATACATATGACATAAACGCGGGTCCCGCCAAGCGTCTAGCCACTGCCCAAACAATAGCAGTTCGAAATGGAGTGCGATGAACCCCGGGTAATGAACACGCGGTTACTCGATGTAAACGCACTCGGCGATCATCGGACTTTACAAACAATTGCTAGTAAATAACATTTCAAATGTGATGTAATAGATTGCTATATATCAGAGTTCTACATCCACAAACTGACACATTTTTTACATGATTACACGAGTTTAGTAGTTCGAGGTGCTTATGCAACAAATTTCCACTATACTTTCAGCAGCAGAAACACGTCACTTGCAAGAACAGTGAACATATTCCCTGTATTGTACTACTGTTCAACGCGTGACAAGTTGAGAGTAGCATAATACTCATTCATGTGTAGGGTGTGCAGGCAGAAACTCTAAACAATATCTCGAAGATATATGTATCGCCACTAGCACAAACTCAATGAGGTGTCGACGGATATTTCGCGAAGCCCATGCAACCGTTGTCATGGTTATCTGCGATGAGTGAATACAATCCAATCTTATCCGCTCACACGTGGTCTACTCACCTCCTGTGATGACGCTTGACGGAATAAAGACATTATCAACTTGTCTTTTATCGTTGTTTGCGTCATCTAAAACGTCACTTGGCCAATCAGGTGTGAAACTCCAACCAAGAAACTGTTCATCCATCAGTACGTTTGTCTCGATTACTGATCGGTTGAAAAACAAAATGATAATCGTTATGTAAATATTTACAAGATTTTACATTTAATTGTTTACAAGTTGGATAATGTCATTTGGATGATGGTTTTTATCAAAATGCTCCGATGCTTGCTTCTAAACAGACTTCATTCATTGATTTTAATAATATATCTGATGTGTTGTTCATTGCAACACATGAGATGACGTCATTCTTACATATGTTATTGCATACGTGGACAGTATTTCCCTCTACACCGTTAGTCAATAAATGGTCTCCATAGTAACGACCAAGTTTCTCCGTATTCCATAAAAACTGGCTGAGGATGGAGGACGCAGATTTGAACTGGAAAACAAAATAAATAAAAGGAATTAGTAAAATGAGTAAGATTTGGTTTTCTCCTATTTTATTCTATTCTGATCATAATCGGGAAGGAATATTGCGATCCTACATGATGTAGTGACCAGAATAAAATGCAAGCTATGGTAGGTTGCGATGATTGTGAAACTACTGCAAAATCGATGTGCGTGATTATACGAGTCTAAAAAATTACGCCCATACAGCGAGTCAATGTTGTTAACTATTTATTTCTAATGTAAAGAATGTCACAGAAATAAAACCCGTTTTTAGTCATTTTGTTTCATTTGTTTGTATTCCTCCTCTATGTAAAGTTACCTAACAGTTTGCTTGTCCAGTAGACAATTCTGAATGAAATTTCACTTTTTCTGTGCGACTCTGACACGATATATGAAAACACATCTATGAACAACAACTTAGGGTCTTGAAAACCCAAAAGTTAGAGGGTATGGGATTTATTATATCACTGCACTTACAGTTGACAGTGTTTGAAAACTCTCCTCGTGTTCAAGTAAGCCGCTTGTTGAATTCATGTATGTCTGTTTGAAGAAAGAAATTGTTATTTCATCATTTTTCGTACACAGTTATTATGTAGAAATCACATGGCGATCACAAGTATAAATCAGACACTAGACATAATAATAGTATCTCATTAAGCCCGTTAAACACAATCGTTAAGAGGATAGCGCCACTGCCAATACAAATCGTACAATATCCGTTACTGGTGTAAAGGAATGTGCAATTAAAAAAAAAATCGTCACACTCATTAGCGTCTATAATCGTGCTTCTCCTATTAGTTGAATGATTACGTCATTGACCTAACACAATGTTTCTTCTCAATGTCGTCCAATTCTATTCCATATTAAACAGATAAACTTGTATCATTTCTTTCGTCATTACAAATGGAATAGAAACATTCCTTAATTACAGCCACCACACCAAATTGATTTACATCAGGAGTAGTGTACGTTTCCGTTCTGTTAACCGATTTATGGCAACACATTACTGGCCACAGTTATTATTACATGCGATGTTCGATACTCCAATATCTGCGCTGTCACGAGCATAAGACCAATATTCCAATCATTTTCTCAACAGCCGCATTTAAAAACGACACTGGGCTGAAAAAGTGTATGGCTGTCTGCCTGTATTTATGTTTTTTCCCAATCGTTTTATATTCTGTTAAGGCAGGTTGAACATTATATTGCACTCCGATATTGAATGCATAGCGAATGTGGAAGCAATAATTTCCAATTATGGGAAATCTAATATTTACTAGGTTCAAGTAACATGATTTGATTATTATATTTTTCGTCAACTCTAATTACGAAGGGCCATAATTGATTAAATCGATTATCGAATAACACATATTGTAATTTTCGGTCTGTTGTATTGCTTTGATTCAAATAGATAACAAAATTTCACCTGGCCAATAATCTAAATTTATATTGTGAGAATTTTTCCAGTCAGCCGTTTTAATTAGTCGTATTTTATTTAACAAAAAGGGTTTCGTTACTTTGTAATTTTACTTTATTCGTAATTCAGACTGAATTTGCGCAAATTTAAATTATCAGTACGTTACAGGCATACAAAGCAATGCAAATTAGGTAATGTATACCCCCACTGATTGCATACGATCTGATAAGTTAAGTTTATCGACTGTCTTACCTGTATATAAATATCAAGCAATGTACCGTTTTCAATATATTCCATGTCCCGTGTTGCAATTTGCGATGATGCAATCAACAATGCGGTCATAATAGTCACGTCTGCTGCAGAATTCAAATCATCGATAGTGGAACTGGAATTGAGAAGTAATTCGTATGCCACCACTAAACCATCTGCTACATCTATTGTCAGACTTTCTACCTGTAATTACAATTTGGATTTGGAATATATAAAGTGAATATTGTGAAAACAACAGTAGCGTTGTTAATCTTTTCATTCCACAGTGAGAAGTTTTCTTGCTTGTGGATACATTCCATTGCCATGGTCATGGATTTAAATTTAAATTCATAACTTAATTCGATTATTGTGATTATATTATAGTACTCAACACATTAAATTAAAAGCTGGAAACGCCAATTCGAATTCACATGGCCATGAAAAAGCAATATTTAAAAGAACCGTATGTGTTTGACATTGCATCGGAAAATGATTGAAATCGTCAGTTAAATTAATGTGCTTTATAGTGATACTTGTTTGCAAGCCGTAATCACTGCCAGTGGTTATGTGTACTGATGTAATTGGTGTACACAAGGAATAGCACGCGTTGGAAAACTATTACGTCTCCCCAATGACCAATTAACCTGTCATATAAATGTCTTGTGTAACGATTTTGCATAAGCGCATCGCCACTGTTGAACATGCAAATTTCAAGTGGTTACCACAATGGTGTGCCAATTCACTATGGGTTGCTTAATTTGGAATTATTCACCATTCTCGTGAGCGAACATCCGGGCATTTTCACCGCCTTGCAAACACAACCGATGAAAACAACGGTCGAAAAACTGTGCTTTAGGCAAGTTGAGATTACCCCAAACAGTGTGTGACAAGATTACCTCTACTTGACATGTGCATCATATATATATACATATATTGGTTGTTCGGGATTATCTAAATTGTCTTCTCGCTGTTTTCACCGGCGCCCCACAGAAGCTCGCGCACATTGAACGATCTGTGACGTAGCTCCTTCCGAGAAATATCAAATCATTAATTGGGTGTAATTATTGATATGATGGTAATCTGGCAACTAATTCCATGACTTTTGTTAATATGTCAATGTTATAGTAACTAAAACACTACATTATTGTTAGTCTTATCACGAAAATCTTATAGCCAGTACACGTTACCGTTATTATAATTTCAAATAGCATTTCTGGCATATCACTTTTGGCGTGATTTCTGTGTTAAATATTTTTTCCCCACAATATAATGTGCATTGTCGAACCTCTCTCTAAAAGACTAGTAACATATAGTTAACGAGTTTACTCGCGTGCGCAAATAAACTATACAGTTTTCACATCCGATTGTTTATTTTAAATATTGGAATACGGTCTACCGATTGAATACCAACCACACGAAAAACATGACTATGTACATAAATGTAATTTGTATTTCTAAATCTAAGAATGCTATACAAGATGTTTGTAATTCAGCATGTTTGGTTCCCAATTTAAAAAAAAAACGTAAATAAACCAGCAGTATCTACATCTAATGCATGTAAACTAATGTAAGTGCGACTTAATCTTCTTATATCGCGTTTGAGATCATAATACCGCAGATTAGCGTCCGCTGACTTCATTAGACGCCCGACAAACTTCTAAATGCCCAGGGGATGAGCTCCCACGAGTAGTCATGCATCCATGTACGCAATGCATCAATTCGCCAAGTCAATATTATACGTTTAAGGAATGAAACATTACTCCGTCTGATTAGAATATATTTCACCGACGAGAATCTGTGTTTATACCGGTATTGTGCTGCTGAAATTTTGTTGAAGATTTCACACTACCATCATCTTGAACATACCTCAAAATATAACTCGGCTATTTCATTCGTGGTGTAACAGTCGGTCATATCAGGTTCTGACCACGACGTATTACCATCATCGCAAGAGCGTTTAGCCGTATCTACAAAAATAAATCCAATATGACACATTTATTAATTAGTAAGATATTTATGAAGGTATATTTTTCGAAATGGTGAAAAGTGACTCTCTATAAATTATGTATGTAGGAAGAACCGAGATACTTATTGAACATCCAAATACAATACAAACCGGTAATCCTGTCAAGCAAGATGAGAGGCGTGAATTTTAATGCTCAGTGTAGCATTTGGAAACTAATATCACACTATGCTGATTGTCATCGTGCTTTCAAGCGAACAATTTATCTTCAGGGCTTTTACTTAAAAAATAATTCCACTTATACAATAACATGGCGAACTTTAATACAACTGTCACGGCGTTCAATGTTTGTGAATTTGGCACACTTCCTGGGTATAATATTCATGCGCGAAATAGCTCCTTAATCTATCAGTGCACAAAACAGCATAATTGTTTAAAAATGTTACCTCCATCGATAGACACTGGACACCGGATCTCCGCAAGGTTGCCGCCTAATGTTTCAGGCCATACTATACCATATATTGATAAGCTTGGACATGATTCTGAAATGAGATATGAACAAAACGGATGCACAAACACAAAGTGAAAATGGATTCAAGTTCATTAAATATCTTGGATGTTTGCCGCGGACGCCATTGACCTGGCATATATGAGAAATGTATGTGTGTTTTTCATTTAATGGCAAAGCTCAAATGTGTCGTATGCCTGCGATCATGATGTGGTCGCATTCTAAAATTCTCTGAACAATATTTTTAATGTGCATTTGCTTATAACGCTTATTAAAGCTTTGTTATTGTCATTAGCTATATTATTACATATGTACTGCAGTTTATTTTGATTCGTTCATGAAATCAAAATCGGTATTTCCACAACCCATATGCAAATGAGTCTGAGAGCAAACAAAGTAGTCCCTTCAGGAGTACATTTTTTCGAAATAAACAATATTTAGAAGTATGATATTTTCCCCTCGGGGTACATGAATATACTTGCCGAGTGAAATGAAATTTGAACAACAGTAATGGTCACTTATTTTGGCCCAAACTAATTTGCATATCACCCATGCAATAATGTTTTCGGTATTTTCACGGTCGATATGCAAATGAACATGGTATTTTCATTGGCTACCGAACTATTTTTATTTTGTAAACACATTTTCGTCTGCTATTTTTATCCAGTTCAAATCGTTCAACAACATTTTTGGCATGTCAGGTGTACATCACATGGAATACTACGATTGGGAGAACTTAATGTATGTTGACCACCTGGAAACTGAGTTTTATAAACCTTGAAGGGCTCTCAGAAGATCCACCAGCAGTAAAATCAGCGATTACTATGCAGCCGCGCTTCGCTCGTGAAAGTACGGCCGCAGGATACACCGCATCACTCGTGAAAATAACTTCCATACGCAACGAAAGCCACGGGGAGGGTGTGGGGTTCTGTCATATTATTTCATATGTTGTACTAGTTCATTACATATATACTTAAGAGCAAATGTCTGTAAGAATCAAACAATGGTGGCAGGGGTCAAAAAATAGATTTGGCTCATATTTTGCACAGTGATAGTACTTGGTCCACAACCCCTCAAAATAGCTTTCTTTTAGATCAAAACTCGTGGTTGCCATGGTAACGGTCAAACAAAGTTTTTTAACCATTTTCCCCAATTTTCGCATCTCAAAAACACGGAAATCAGCATATTTACGGCACTGTCTAGGCAACACCTTTAAACCTATCATAAAAACAAAACAAGATCTGAATAGACCAACATTTTAGCTTTTTCAAAATTGTTGTGAAATTTTCAAAGACATACATTTTAGTTCTTGGACAGCTTGAAAACAATTAGATGTTTCAAGTTTTAAAAAAAATAATTTTTGGCCCAAATTTGTAACGCTATAAGTGCCGCTCTGGTATTGTTTTTGTCTTGAAACTTGTACCATATGTAGATAATTGGAACATCTATCAAAAGCATTTTTGTAAAATTTGGTACCTTGTTTGGTTGTCACGTGACTGTCCCCTAAAATAGGCCACTTTTGTGTGTGGCGAAAATTGTGAACTTTAGCCATGTTCAAAGTATGCTACATGACGAAGTAAAATATATTTCTAATTCAACTTATTATCAAAGATGAATTTATGTATTGCCTATCAAATGACGTTCGGTCACGTGGTTGTCCCTGAAAGTAGGCCATTTTTTTGCATTTGACGCAAACTGTAAATTTTAGTTTTGTTCAGCGTACACTACTAGACGAAGTGAACAATAATTCTTATTCAACTTCTGGTCAAATGTACATCTATGTATTGTCTATCAAATAAATGCTTGTAGAGTTTCGGGTCATAACGTTAAGTCACGTGGTTGTCTCTGAAAGTAGGCCATTTTTTGAATTTGACAAATATTGTGAATTTTAGCTTTGTTCAACGTAC